TCCGGTTCAATGAATCAGGTTCTATGCACGCTTATCAGCCTCTGTTATATCGCCTCTAGCAGTGCAGGTTGGTGCACGCTTAATTATCGACGTGGACTCTTCTACGCACTTGTTTCACGGTGAGGCTCAGTAGTGAGGGTGACGTGATCTGGGTGACCCGTACAGGCTAGACCGTGGCGACCGTAGGCGTATGTGCCCAACAGTAAATGTTGTATGGATTCTGGAAGCGAGACGTTGAGTTTAAGGGATTCTGGAAAAACTGTATAATTTCTCCCCCGAAATCACAACATAATTCGCGTTACTTTTTAAAGCCTTCATAGTTGCTCTATACAAGTTTCACGACTAAATATTAGGTTGTCCGGAAAGTTCTCAGCGTTTTGGGTGTTTCACTTTAAACGATCGTAACTTTTTTAATACTCATCGGATTTAATCGAAATAGAATCAACTTCTGTTGAACAATGCTGGCTGCCAGCTGACACGGCAAGTTTCGGTGGCAATTCGTCGATTATTCACAGTAAGGGTTCTGCTGTGAGTTGGGCCTGGTGAAAAAAAAAAAACTATAGTGGAGTACACCGAGCCGATGGCCCACCGAAAAGAAGAGGAAGACACCGTGAACGAGGAATCTTTTTCCGTGAAGGGGATCGCTTTCGAAAATTACCCATCGAAGGAATGGTTCGTACGAATCCCAACCGCACGTGAAGTCCGGAAACCGCTCATGTTATCATACATGATTCATTTTTTCATCAACAGGTGACAATTCGGAAAGCCCAGAACAGGTCGTTTCTTTGCGGCAAAAGCAGTGAAGGATGAAACACGCGAGAACAATGCCAAATTTCTCCTGCGTTCACAATGGGGCGGCGGGGATTAGTAGGCGGGGGGGGGGGCAGCCACAAGTTGTATGGGGTGGAAGTAATTTCATATATCCTTTCCAATGCGTTCCAGACCATCTGCAACAGTGGATTTGCCAAGGCCTAGCTCTTCTGCTATCTCTCGAACTGTTTGGGATGGGTCAGCCTCCAAAATCCCCCTAAATCCTCGTCAGATATTGCTTTAGGTCGACCGCTATGAGGTTCATCTTCAAGGCTGAAATCTCCAGAACGAAATTTGTTGAGCCATTGCCGCACAGTGCTTTCTCTAGCACTATTGGGCCCCCACACCTGGTTAATTTGTTGAGCTGTTTCGATTGCGGATTGCCCCAATTTATAGTCGAAGAAGAAAAGAAAAAAAATCGTCCGAAGTGCTCTTTTCACATGCTTGAAAAAATCTTGAAAAAAGGGGTTTATCAAGCAATGGTGAAACGGCAATTATA